CTCTCTATCTATATATAAATTAATCTTTATGGACCACAGAAGTATCACTAATACCCCCCCCCCCTCAAAATTGCATGAACTTACAAACTTACTAAAGAATGTCCAGTTTTTATTTTAAAATTTTGATATAATTTAATTTAGTATTTCTATCATCTTTTAGTATGTGAAATTTATTGTGACAAAGAATAGGATGTGACAGGTGGGTGTGGCAGGAGAAGTCTGATTTTCTATTTGATAGCTCTGTAACCTAACAAAATTGAAGGCTATAAAATTTGGGTTTGTCTGATCAATGACCATCCCATAGTGAGTAATTTACGTTGAATTTTGTACTTTTTTGAGGGGTGATGGATAAACAGAGAAGAGAAGATATCTAGAGAAAATGTGTCACACTAGGGGAAATTCAGGATTTTTTTCAAATACTGCCTTATAGAATTAAGAACTTAAAACGTATATACTATTAAAATATAGATTATTATCCATGATTTTATGCTATACTAATTCGTATAAATTAAATAAAAAGTAGTTTAATAAAATTTTGAATGTAAGACACTAAAACCTTGTGTCATGCGCAGTAAAGGATACTTGTGGTGATAGGGTTAGTACATCAATCTTTATTCTGTTCATGCATTTATTTTAATTTATCTCTTGATTAAATACATAGTTATTTTACTTTTAAGTTGAACATAAAGTGAAGAAAACATGCCCATGTTCATCTTATATATATATACAAGTGTGTTAAGAAGATGCTATTAAACCTGATATTTCTATATATATTTCCTATTTCAAAACATTTTAGTTGAATTTTCTTTGACATAAATCATTATTTCCTGCTTTCTCTGTTCTTCATAGATCATCTGATAAAAGTATAAAAAATGAATAGACTAAGACTTTGGAAATTCTAAACAGGGGGCCTAGTGAGCTTTGGCACTGAGCAAACAAAGGCTTCACAAGCAGTAACCTACATAAAACATACTTGAAAAACTAAAATGATCTTTACTTATTAGTAAAACATAAAAAAAAGACTTACAAATATTGTTGATACTACACCATCTAATATAATGCCTCAACAATAATTGATATATCTATTCTCTTATCAGTTACTTTGGATATCATAAGCCAGCAGGCTTAGTAAATTTTGGTATTGAGTGTAAGACCTGATTAGCAATATGGTACAAAAGACATAAGGTAGGTTAAACATACTGGAGAAAAGACTTCGGTTTTGGTTTGTTTTGAATGCCGTGCAAAGCTACACAAGAGCTAGCCAGCCCTAATTTAGCAGTGATAGACTAGAGGGAAGGCAGCTAGTCAATGCCACCACCAACTTTTGGGCTACTCTTTTACCAATGAATAGTGGGATTGATCGTCACATTCTAATGTCTCCATGGCTGAAAGGGCAAGAATGTTTGATGTGAAGAGAATTCAAACCCGCAACCAGCAGATTGCGAGTCAAGTGCACTAACCACCAGGCCAGAGAAAATAAAGTTACAATATATGCAGTTATTTCAATACAAATTTTCAATATGTTTCTGTATCAGCTGGCAGGTTGAAAAAAAAAATACACTGCATAAAAAAACATGATAATTATAATGCCATTCATTTTATGCTATTGGATATGATGTGGTAAAAATCTGAAGAACACAGAATTTTAACTTACATATTTGATATTTTTAATTTATATACTGGCTTTTTGTGAGGTTCTAAAGTTTATTTACAGACATGCCTGTCTGTAAACAAACTTTAAAATCACCCAAGTCAAAAAAAAAAAACACAAAGAAAATTTGGGCACCTTCAACAGAAAACTTTTGCTCTTCTATGATTCCTGGTCGAATGACACACTTTGCTGGCCTAATTTCAAATAGGAACATAAGATCAGCTATGAAGGCCAGAACATTCTGTCGTAAGGAGGAATGCATGTACAACATGTCTTCCAGAGTTAGAAAATAGATATCATGGGGAAGGGTTTGAGTACAGAACTGTTCTATCAGCTGCAGGTTGTATACAGAGTCTGACAAATTCATAGGTTCAAGAAGACAGATTTCTGTGGGGGAAAAAAAAAGAAGTCAAATGTTAATTTTGAACAACTTTTAACTCAAAGTTCTATAAGAAGATGATAGTTGAGTGAACGTATTAATGATCATAAACAAAATAAAATAATGATAACCGTTTATTTCCTAAATTGGAAAAAATTCAATTGACATTAACTCTGTTTACACTCAAAGGAAGGTAATATGTTGTATTTTTCTATGATTTTATTGTATAATATTAGTCTAGAAGCCAACAATGAATCATTGCAAGATGTAAAATACAGTAATAATTTGCATAATATAAATGTCTCTTTGATAGATCCAAGTAAATAATAATGAAAAAAACATTTCAAATATATGACAACATTATACAGAGTAAGACTTTGTTTGATTTTTCTTTATTTAGTTATATTTTTAATACATTGTGTCCTAGAAACCTTGCCAATTATAAATGTTTTTAACTCGTATATGAAAAAAAAAGTATTTAATTCAAGCACTATAGCATAGAATTAATATATTTTGTAAACTTATGAATACAGCTCATTTGTGTAATAACAAATACTCTCAGTGCTCATTCTTTAATAAGAGGGCTGTTCCCAACAGGTTTCAACTCTTTTGGGTGTTTTCCATTCATTAATTTATTTACTTACAATGCAATTATCTCATTTATCTTTGACACCTTAAACTATGCTGCTTAGCTTTAATTATATACTTATTGTCATTCTTCTATACATTCCATAATTTACCCCAATGCTCTTACATATGTTACTCCTCTAGTTCCTTAATTATTCAAAAGAAAGCTGTAAGAGATATTTTTAGTCAACTGTAAACATGCAGTTTTTCTTTAAATCAAACAAAAACATCCACTCTATCTTTTTTTTTTCACCATTAACCCATTGACTACTGATCTGCTGTATAGGGTACAGTCCACCTCTGGCAGTTGAATGCGAGTGTGCTGTATACAGTGTATGGCTTGCGTTTAGCGCAGCCACAGTCAATGGGTTAATTTGACATATGTCAAATTCCTAAAAACTAACCTTTCCAGTGAAGGTAATTAGGACAGTAGAAGCTAAGCAAAGAACTTAAACTGCAACCATCACATAAATCTGCAAGGTCTTCTATAATTGGAATATATGGAACTATTTTCTGTTGCTCCTACAGAGAAATAAATGAATAAGTTGTCACAAGTGTATCAAAAGTCCTTAACTTGTACCAGAATGTTTTTGTAGTAAGTTGATAACTTTGCTGTAGAACAAGCAATATTTTTTCTATTATAATGGAAAGGTTTTTTAAGGCATCTTTTTGCCAGATTAAGAGGTAGAAGTCAACATTTAATACATTATTTCAATTTATTAGATACATCATTTTCTACATCCACACTAAAAGATGTTTCACCATAATGTTCATTTGTACTCGTCTTTCTTGAACTACACTTTAAAGGCTTTACCTTTTATGTTGTAAATAGTGTTCAAAGTTTTATGTGCATTTTCCTGCTTTAAGCAACTGATATTATTATAGGTATTTAGCTTTAAGTACTGTGTTGTGTAAGCTTCAAAATTATTTTTTATTTTGGCAAGTTGTGTTGTTTGTTTGCAACAGTTTACTTAGTATGTAAGTAACAGAAAAAAAAAAAATTACTATCAGTCCCACTTTAGCCTGATAAGGGTGGGTTTAGTTCTATTAATTGTACACCTATAACTAGAATCAGTAAAAAGGAGGAAAAGTCCTTATAGGTTACTGAATACAAAATACTAATAAAGCTTATAAACAAGTCCTAGTTGAGGCCAACTAATTTTTGCCTCATTCTGAATATTTAATTTTCTAAAAACACAAACAGTTTTTACTATCAGTCCCACTTTAACCTGATAAGGGTGGGCTTAGTTCTATTAATTGTATATTTATAATTAGAATCAGTAAAAAGGAGAAAAAAGTCTTTATAGGTTACTCAATACAAAATACTAATCAAGCTTATAAACAAGTCCTAGTTGAGGTAGTTTATTTACACTTATGGCCAACTAACTTTTGCCTCATCCTGAATATTTAATTTTCTAAAAATAAATGATTTATTAGTACTTTCAAGATATTAGCATTCTCAGAGAAGCATCTTAGTGTACCATGATGTGCCATTAATTTTGTATTTTCAGGCTCAGTGTTTCAAACAAAAACTTAAAGATAAAATGAAATGGATTTTGAGCTGCATGGAATATCAAGCTAAATTAACTTATTTTTGAATCAGTTAAGATTCTAACTTTAAAAAAAGAAAAGAAGATAATACTCTCTTTCTAAAATGTTTCTAAGCCATTCACCAATAACTACTGTTGTCCATGTTTGGTGACAATCAGTCAAGTTTGTTTCCCCAGTTTTAAGCACATGCACACATGTCAAATAATGGTTTAGATTATCAATCCCACACACTAAAATACAATAAGGATTAAAGGAAACTTCAAAAACATTTCAAAGTTAGAACCAGTCTTCAGTTTCCTCATTCTTGCAAATGAATACACTTTATATACACGTATCTACCCAGAACTAAATACAAAGTTATCTAAAATCATTTATATAAATGAAAAACCCTTTCCTGTTGAACTTGCTAGCTGAATAACATACTGTAATCAAATAGTAGCAACACATGCTCTAATAAATCACTTTCTTTTACAGCAAGCATTAAAACTACTGTTCAGAGAGGTTGTAAATAAACATTTCAAAAAGTTAAGAAAGTCTATATTATATATGACATTCATATACTATTTCACTTACATTTATTGGGCATCATTAATAGATAAAAAGAAATTCAAAAACTTATACATAACTTACAATGATTACATTTTTATTTACTACCTTTGGTCTTTTAATCAGACTTACATAAGAAGATTTTTGTGAAGTGTGATATGAGCCAAGTTCACCTTCAATCCTCCATCTCATTTTAGTACAACATTTGTTCAACCACAGGATGGCAGCATCTTCGGGGTCTTCAGGGACTTCATCAGGAACAAGGACCGAGGAAAACCTCCTGCAAGCGTCCAAAAATTAATAACATTTCTTCATACAATAATGCAAAAAGATTTTTTTATATTTCTTTCTTTGTAGTTTAGTCACAAAATCCTAAATTAACAGTGTTTTATGTACAATAAATTTGCCTTTTGCCTATTAGGAATCTTTTCATATTTCAGTCAGTGGCTCAATGATGATAGAACTGCATCCCTACAAATTACAAAGGAGGAAGCAAATTCTAAATAGATAAATAAAAGGTATTTCTTCCATTTACTAGCTTTACAATGAGAGAGACTGAAAAACACTTGTAGAAAAACAGAAAAAAAGTATATTTTGTTTGTTTTGTATACAAATAAATGATAAAATCACAAACAACATGTTTAGGACAGTTTCAAATCAAAATAACTTATGTTAATCAAGCAATATCTCAACAAGAAAATTTATTATTATTCCAAAAGTTTCATTTATAAAGCATGCTCAGAGGTAGAACATCAAGCAAATCAAATGTGACTATTTGTTTGAAATTCATTCCCTTTCCAATTTCACAGCATTTCTTCTGTGAACAAAGGGCAAAAACAACAGAAAAAAAACATTACAAGCATTATAAAAGAAAGCAAGAGCTGTGAAAAAAAAGTTAGAATTTTCACCATTAACATTTTTTGTCAGATGTTTCAAATTGGGAGTGAGTAAAGTTCCAACATACAAGTTTAAAATGACACTGTATTGCTATTTTCAGTGCATCTGGTTTAAGTAAACTAAACATAAACATTACAAGAAAATTAATTACAAATGTTTCCTGTTGATCTTCCTATTCATGTATTACAAAATATTGCACTTAAAAGAAAAAGTCCAAAACCCAAGCACACTATTTTACAATTTTGAACTTTTTTATACATGTCCATTTGTTAATTTTGTGCACATTCACTAAGGTTTTTTTTTAAAAAAGTGTTACAAAGCTGTAAATAAAAAATATGCCATTAATCTATGCTAAAAAGTATTAAGCAAAGTATTATTCTTTTCAGCAGCACTAACTTAAAATATAAGCTGAAAGATGTTATTCATATTAACAAATCACCAGTTATAGCTGTATAATACAAATTTCAATGGAAGTTGAATGTACGACTGACAAATATTCATAGCTTGTTTCAACTGTAGAACAAAGACTCTTTTCATGTAACCAGTACTACAAAAGGATCTTAACATTTGGTCTGATGAGCATTCCATCACATTCTTTGAATGTGAAAATCACACACATTAACATGTATTAAAAAAGTATCTAAAGCCCAGTGTATTAAATACTAGTATATGCCTCTCCAATTTTTCAAAATCTTCAGTTGCTACAGAGCAGTGAACTAAGAAATATCAACTTGCTTGCACTCAGGATATACTTAGCCAAGTTCAACTGCATACAAATACAGCTCAGAAGTATAATCTCTGTAGAACTGTCTTCTCTATACTACTTAAAATATTTGAGAAAAATAAAGAAACATAAATTTAACTTGGGAATCACAAAAGTGTTTTCCCTTACACATTATTAAAATAAGTAAAAAATCTTCCCTAATAACTCATTTTTCTTAATCCTTCTCAAATATTTTTAATAGTGAATATATCTGTAAATGTTAATTTTTTTAAAGTCTGCACCTCTATTACCTGGTATCTCTAAGCTAATTTACACAGAAGAAAGATTAGTTTGTTTTTGGAATTATTATTGATTAATATAGAGCTATCTCCAGGGATGAGACTGACTCAAAAGAAGAACATTGAACATTTTCTGAATCCTCATAGGGGAGATGTTGTGTACTCCCAAAAGGCCAGTGAGTTCAAGGAAGGTCTGAGATTAATAATGGTTGGAGATGGCTTGAATGGGTAATGAAGAAAAATGTCATCATGATGATGACAAAACCTTGTCGAAACGTTGTACATTTGCTGTTATGTTAAACTTATATTAAAGTTTTTCTTCATTACTCATTCAAGCCATCTCCAACCATTATTAGTCTCAAAGTGGGTTCCTCGTCATCGAATTTCAAGGTCTGAGATGTTTCAAGGTGCATTTTGAGGTACTTTTTGTACTTTAAAGAGCTATTTATTAACCAAAAAATTACAGCTATTGGGCTAAATATACTAAAAGTTTTCTAACTATTTTAGTCAGTATAGTATTTAACTCTGCATAGACCACAAAATATATCAGTTTAACTGATTAATTTTTGTTTATAGATACTTTGCAGTAGTATTACTATGTTGGCCTTTATAATCCTCCAAATTAGAATATCAAATCTACAGCAATATTCACTGCTGTCTTAATGACAACTAACCAGCAAATAACATAGTTTATTCTGAAGACACTTAATGCACCAGCAGATTATAATGAAATTATCCTCACCAATGTGAAAAAACTAAAAAAAATTATATTAGGTTTTTGTATTAATAAAAATTTTTTTGTTAAAATCATAAAATAGACGTAGTTTTCCAAGTTAAACCTCAGCATAAGCTTTGTCACATTTCACCTGTATTATACTCAACTTCCGTGACAAGTTAAAATCAAAACAAAAAAATACCTGTTTAATGCTAGTAAAATTACTTTTTTCATTGCTGCCATTTGTCATGACATTTAGATCAGGAAATTTGAATTTCCTATATAATTTCAATCTTCACATACAAGTAATATTTTTAAATTTAAACTTTTACAATATTGATTAAGCTGTCATACTTAAGAAATGCCATACAAAGTTTAACTAAACAAAGTGACTATTTTTTGCAGTATTAATATTTTCTACAAAAGTTTGTCTGCAAATCCACCTTTTCATTGACATTCTTTTCGAATCATTTTTGTGTCTCCTCTTAATTATCTTTGTTATTCTTGAATATTTGAAAAATCACTACTGTGCAGCCACTTCCCAAGAGACACGTTTTGAAAATGGATGATGGCAGGCTAACAGCCGAAACTTTTGCATACCCTACCTGATGTGTCAGGTTTTTCCAATCAATTAACTCCTTCCTTACAGGCTAGGTGCACTACACCTACTTTGTAACCACCAAAATAATAATAAAATTATTCATACTATAACTTTTGATAATGTATGCATACCTTCACAAAAGTGTGCAGACTATCAGTAAATATTGCAAGTCTTTTGAACACAAAAAATCAATTTTTTAAATCAAGTACTTTACTAAACATTTTCCTATGAATATATGAAGTCAAATTCACTCAAAGTGTTGACTGCTCCTAGTGCAAAGTGATTTTCATGTTAAGATTAAAAATATTTTCTTTCTTGAAAACTTTCAAATTTTATTTGCATAATCTCTAAAACCTTCCAAATAAATTATCAGATATTTATTTTTCATAAAAACTTTATATTCTGTCTGTTATTTTCTTTACCCTAACTCTATCTGGGTCGGTCAATTTGACAGCTCTCATAACCACCATAAAAAATTAGAAAATCTAAATTATCCTTTTGTCTTTCTAGAATAACTGCAAATTGTAACAGGAAACCACACCTGTTTATTCTAAATAGCTTAAAGCTTGTAACAGTATACTATTTATACTTAATTTTATTGATGCCTGAACATGTCTAACTAATAATCCTGCCTCCCAAGTTGTAAATCACTCAGCAAACATGCAGTTCATGTTACTATATCAAATTATGTAATGCAAGAGCTGCTCACGAGCATACCCCTTGAAGATTTATCATGTTTTTCAATATCTTACTTAATCTAACTTTATCTAACCTAATAAGCTTCTGATTTTTACATTTTAGATAGTTTGTAATAATAAGTAAAGAATACACATAAAAGAGAAAAAATATAGTACTTATTTCAGTCGTCTTATTTTCTTTGTTTGCTGATAACCGTCAATGAAAATTAAGCCTATTTTTTTTATACTAATGGTAGTACTACACTAAATAATTTTTTATTTAGTTACATAATGCACCTAAAACAGAATAATAAGAAGAAAAAAGCAGACAATGTCCTATAATTATGTTAAGCTTGTTGATGTGTTTCCCATGGAAATAAAATGTGAAGTAGAAGCAAAATAGAAAATTCTCTGTACAAAAAAAACATGTAATATAAATATGCCATTTCACTGGCTTTCTATTAATTATAAATAATACAGTATGAAATATCAGAGAGAACTGCTGGCAATTTGTAAAAAACAAGATGTAACAGCTGGGTGTGACAACTGGGCCTAATTTTCTACTTTATGGCTCCATAAACAAACAAGATTGAAGGCTATAAAGATTTTGATTTGCCTTAGCATTAACTGTATTATAATATGTAATTTATGTTAAATCCTGTAGTTCTGGGAGGGGTAGTAAATAAATTAGAGAAGAGGGTAGATCTAGAGAGCAAATGTCAAAATTCTCATACTAAGGGAGATTGAAGATTTTTGTAAATATTTCATTATAAAATTAATAATTTAATACTTATATAATATTAAACTTTCATTTATTAACTATGTTTTAATGCCAAGTTTATTCGTATACACTGATATTAAAGTAGCTTAATGAAATTTTGAATGTACTCTGTAAAACGGTTGTGACATGCAGAAAAGGGTTAACAGTTATAAAACATTGTTGAAATTCCAGTTTCACAAGTTTATAACTAATGCCATGGATATATTATACTAAATTACAAATGTTGCACCTGATCATTCCTACTTCAAAAGTCTCGAAGCTGACTAAAAACAAACATGGAAAAAACAGATTGGGAAAAAATTGTCACCTCTGTATCTCAAAATAGTATATGTTCAGTATTGCTAATTTCATATTGACATAGTCACATAAATGCATAGAGAAAAAAACAAAACAATGATTATACATAGTATTTAGAAAAATTAAATGAAAATTATACTTAACTAGCCTGATGGTTTTATTTTTTAAGTCTATTTACTGAAAGTTTGAAAGACTAAAAAAATTAGCAATGTTTTGTATTGTTGTTTTTTAATACAATCACATTTAAAAGTTTTATATGCAGATAAACACATTGTATGATTTACTGCAAAGAAGATCCCAGAAATTTTTTTAAAATGAGTAATTATAGAATTTTCATGGTTCAACCAACCTGCAAACATCTACCACTTTTTCTGGAATAAGAATTTCTTTAATATACAGTGCCATAATTCCATCTATTACAGCCATATGAGCACTCTGAAAGATAAAAATTAAACAAATTATTTATATATAACTATTCTTTTTCCTTGAAATGTTGGTTACTTGCTTTTTCATTTCTAAAACTACACAATTATTATTCACAAAAACAAGAAACATAATCGCAGATAACCATAAGAATTAAATTCATTAGAATTGACATCCCAGCAATCAATAATGTAAAAATAAAGTAAAAAAAAACTAGTTTTACAAGTAAATGGAGTAATCAGATTATTTCAGCACACTTCATTTACTTAAGTAACAATTATTTTAAGATCTCAAAATTTTACAGATTACATGACCTCAAAATATCAATATGTGCTACCAGTAATAAGAAAGTATAAAAGTATTTCCACTCATAAGCTTTTTCATTCATTATCAAATCTCAACAGTTCAGTTCCATTACAAAAAATCAAACTATAACTTTCAGTCATGTATCAAATTCATATGGTGTCCGAGCAGTTAAAAGTTAAATGTTTGAAATTATTTCCAGTTGCTTCATGAAATGTTAATACATTGATACCTGATAGTGGTAATGCTTGTAGAGAATCTGTTATACACCACAGAGATTACATATAAAGAATTATATTGTTTCAAGATGGCAGTATGTTGAAGATTTTTTGTCATTGTTTGCAAAAAATGATGGAAAACAAACTATGTGCTTTCATCACTCTTTATAGTGTCACATTCTGGTCAGTCTTACTTTACTTTTCAATATATCAGCTAACACATACACAGACATTCAGCACTACTTATAATAGTAAAAAACATACAACTGGAACAAGTGAAAAAAGGTTAAATTTGAACACATTTTAAATGAAGTAATTCTCAGCAGCTTCTATATGCAAACATTTTTCATATGCCACAAGCCTCAAAATCTCACATACTCCAGGATCAATGTGGTTCACTGCATCTCGTATGTAAATCCTAATGCAACAACCCTCCACCAGTAGGAGTGTGACACACACTCCTGATGCATGTGACTCTCTCTATTTAATTCTGCCAAACTATCACTTTGAGATTAGGCAGAAAGGAAGCACCAGTTTTTAGTGAGGAGGAAGAGTGGGAAGTTTGAGAGAAGGTAAATACCTATAAGAAATATATTTTCAATATAGGAAAATAATAACTTCCAATATGGTACCTTGCCTGTTCTCACATTTATAGCTAGAATCCCACGTTGAATAGGTGGAGAGACCAGTGCAAGGGAGAGAAATAAGTATCCTTCGAAAACATTCGAAGCACACCCATAAAGTGTTATCCTTGTTGGAAGAAGAACACATATGTGAAACAGCACCACTTCTGTACCAGGTATACTCTGCACCCAGTATGGAAATAGGTGTCACATAAACGAGGGAGAAGTGAGAGGAGCACAACCAACAGGGAGGGAAAAACCAGATGGGTTCAAATTTTGGTGAAGAAAGACTGTAGAAAAACCATCTACAGACAGGAATGTGAGGAAAGCTAAAATGAATGTGCCCCAAAGAGTACAGTGACTAGAGTGAGTCGGACCACAGGTGGCAGTCAACTCCTGTCCAAAACCAAGTGGCAATCGGAATACAACTTCTGATCCATGGTAGGAGGAAGGTTCACACCATCTTCACCTCAAGTTGAGTAGAACTGAAATATATATATATTTCAAACAAATATATGAAACTGGGCACACATGTGGAAATCCACAACCACCCATACATCTGGAAACTCAACATCCAAATGATGGTATGAAGGGATGTGCAAATGTAGCAGGTCACATCAAACTCAATCAGATTGGTACCACACTGCGCAACATCAGCCTTAGGTAGCGAAAACTCTCTGATGTGCAGCATGAGAGGTAGAACCCTCCCCCAAACATCATTATCCTCCAGATAGGATTGCACAGAAGCCAGAGCACATGTGTAAGCACCATCAACATCTGGGACCCACCACCGGGAGGTGGAGATCATGAGACAAAGCTACTAAATTGAGTTAAAATAAGGAAACATAACCAACATAAGTGATGATATGTTGATTGGGTCAGCTCTAATCTAAAGCCACTCACTGGGAACCAACATCCGGGTGATGGTAGGATGAGGGATCCCAATTGGAGGGATGAACTGCAATGTGACAGATCTTCTCCAAAGCAACATCATCTTTCAAGACCCACCACATGGAGGTGGAATGCATGATTGGAGGATTAAACACCATCTACACCAGCAGAATATCCCCACTCTACTCTCTACCGAATGGAAGTAATCACATTCAGGAGGAGTCCTCTACTGGAACAGGAAAGTGGCAAGGACTCTCCTACTTCACTAGAAGAACAAGAGGGACAAAATGCAGTGAAGAGTCTGGAGGAATGCCAACACAGGAGACAGTGCAATGGGTTACCATGAAAACCTTGTACTGAAAAGCAGACCACCCCTGATTTATTCAATTTAAGGGACAGCAGGGATGGGTTGCTGTCCCATTCTGCTTTACCCAAAAAGTCAATGGGTTATTATGGTCTGGAATGGGCATATTTATGAAGCAAATATATTTCCAATGGTGGAAGACACTCAATTTAGGTTGATAAACCTCAAAAGAGAAAGGGTAAACTGTTGACGCTACAAGGGAAGTGAAACACCTAGACAATCCAGATTTCTTTGCCAGGCACCTGATAAATATTAGCCATGAAGTCAAAGGGTGTGAAGGATTGAGAATAAGACAAGAAAACTAAGTTTGTGCTGGCCAGTACAGAGCAGTCAAAAGGACCTGACATAGAGTGGCATTGATGATCAAAATCACCCTGGGAAGGAGTCACACAGAATGGTAAACATAAAGGTACCGGTTGATCCAGTCTTTACTGAGAGCATCCACAGGGACTGAGGATGAGGAATCAGAAACCAAAAAAGAGGTAACTTGTGTTGAGGAAAGTGGCAAAAACACCCAGATGAGGAGTACCCCACCAATTACATAGCCACCTAAAAACCTGAGGGTCAAGAGACCACTCCGTGGGATAAACCTGGTCAGATCTTGAAAGATGACCCCCCCCCCCATTACGATGAAAGTACCCAGAACATGACACACAAGGAGACGTAGCTACAGCATGTGGGCCCAATAAAGGATATCTAATGTTCGACCACAAAGGGGAATGGGAAGCTCATATTCCAAAAAGCGATGAACCTCACATGCAGAAATAAGGGGGTAGCAGGTGCATGGAGAACTGAAAGCTCCATCGAATGGAGATGAAGTGAAGAAGGTTAGGCCTGACTGAGTTAGGTGTTGAAAAATACACCCAAGTGGATAAGATATTGGGTAGGCAAAAGGAAAAACTCCTCCAATTTGAGAGTCCACCCAATACGAGCTGCTTCTGTCAGTAGTAGACGTGTGTGTTGAGAAGACTCCAGGTCAGAATGAGCTAACAGGAGCCAGACATCTGTGTAGTGGTGTAAACACAACTTTTGGGCATGTATAAATCTGGCAAAGGCCTTGACCACCTGACAAAATATATATGGTGCTGTAGCAAGCCCAAAAGGTGAGGCATGAAACTGATATACAATCACGTAGTGGAAAAACCAAATATAGCATCTGGACTGATGAGAAATAGGAATATGTAGATAAGCATTCAAGGCATCTACCTTGGTCATCCACAGTTCTGAAGAAAAAAGCCTACTGTAGTGAGAAAGGACTCCATGGTAAAGTGTGGAAGATTCATAAATTGGTTGAGGCAAGACAGATTGATCCCAGTATGCTAGTTCCCAATTTTCTTGGGGATGACAAAAAGCCTTTAGTAAAAACCTGGAGAAGGCTGGATGACAGGCTCAATAGCTCTCTGTGATAGAAGAGTTTGCACAGCCTCGGACAGATAGTGGGATCCTCAGGTAATGGGAAGAAAATCAGTACATGAAACAATGGGGGCAGGGACAGAAAACAGATGAAAAGTCCTTCTGACAAAACCTGGATCAGTACTAAATTTCTGCCACAGAGGAACAAAATCAACCAAACTCGCAACCACTGGACTGAAAAACACCTGATAGTCACCAGAACTGCTGGCAACGATGAACCCGAATGTTGAGACACATGACAAAATGTCGAACCCCTAGTGGAAGGAACCGGTAAAGGAAGAGAAACAATATATGAGAAAGGTCATGGAATCAAAAAGAGACAAACAAGCAACCAATGATGAAAAGGTTGACCGTTGTCTCACAGATTCCGCAAGTGATTCCAAAGACTCAAGAATATCCCCAAAAAGAGACTAATGGAGAAAAGGACCCACCTATAAATCATGAAGATAAGTGGAAGGTAGATGAACCTGTGAAAAGACAGCAACCCTCCCAAGAAGATCTCAACGGAAAAGAAACCACATGTGAAGGGATAGGGCTAAAGAAGAAAAAATGTGCCAATGTGGAGGTATTGGGGGAAAGGGTATCCCCCCCCCCCCAACTTCTCACAAGATCAATGGACGTCCTCAGAAAGGAGGTGTATGGTGGACAAGTACCATAGAAGAGCTGTAAGGGTAAGATGAAGGCAGGAAACTGCAGGGAGTCAAGAAAAGGTTGATAAGCCATGAGGATGAGGCATGCTAGCACCAGCCCTCAACTGAGAAACAAAATGCTTAGCATGAACCCTGATGCCATGGGAAGGAAGGAAAACAAATAGAGGGGGGGAGTCACGTGGCAAGAGGGTGTGTCACACTCCTATTGGTGGAGGGTTGTTGCAAGATGATTTACATGAGAGAGCATTGAAACACATTGATCATGGGGTACATGGGAGTTCAAGGCTTGTGGCATGTGAAAATTTTTTTTATATAGAGAGCAGCACTGAACTAGAATAGCTATACAAGTGAAAGGAGATAAGGTACCATATAGAAAACATTTATTTCAGCTGTTGAGTTTACTGTATGTGTTGTTCCTTGAGTCAGTAATATGTACTTGAAGACCAATACTGTTTATAAAAACAACACATTATAAAAACTTCATAAGTTTCATAAAAGTAATTGAGTTTTATTATTTCCTTTTTTTTTATTAATGTGGTCATTGTACATAAACTACTTTAACTGTTTGTATCATAGAGTACATTATACTGATGGAATCAAAGTGTTAACCAGAAATGTCATGCTTACAATTTAAAATACTGGTCTAGCACAAACTATGTTTTGTATTTAAAAACAAATCTATGATTGTAGTAAGATGTTAGTAAACACCCTATTATTTGATAGGTCGTTTGAATAGTGTGCCTTTTGGCTAAGTACATTAAACAATATTAAGAAATAATTACACACACAATATACAACAATCTAGCTATCTTATCTTTCTTTACTCAGTTAATTTCCAAGTAACAATAAAATTACAAATTGCATGTATTTCTATTGTGAATTATGGCCTGTTTACACAATGACAACCCCCATCATGGTATAAAGATATATTATTTTTCCACAGAGAACCATCAGTAGCAGAAAAAGATCAATTTGCATTTTTCTTCATCATCAAATTATTACTGCCTATATATATCTCACATTACTAGACTACAAATACACCATTAAAAAAATGTGTAACAATGGGTGGACACACACCTGTCCAATTGTGAAGAAATATTTTAAACTTAGCTTCAAATCCATTTATATATTAAATATATTTGATTAGAAACTTAAATTATAACAAACCATTCGAAAAGGTGCTGTCTGTAATAAAACTGTTTCTGTGAGTGGTGCATCAGGAGGTCCATTTACAAACACCATCTTCCTCATCAAAGCTTGCTGGATCCCGTGATGGTCTAAGTTATGATAGTTAGGGTCAGCATATATATTTGCTAGTGCCAAACAATAGAGTTCAGCACTGGCTAGTTTCTGAATAATCTGTGGCTTCAACTGATATTTCTCCTACATTAAAACAAAAATATATATATTTATATATATAATCAGCCAAACATGTTAATTACATTGTATGTTTGGATATTTGTTTCCTTTAATGAAAAAACAACAACAAAAACTTTGAATTTTAAAGTCTACAATTAAAAAGCATCACAGTATAACAATAACAAAACTAGTTTATTATTAAACAGTCCTGGTTTAAGTTTGTTTTAGCATAAACCACACTGGATTACCTGCTATGTCCATTGCAGGGAATTAAACCCTGGATTTTAGAATTGCTATGTCTATACACTTACCACTGACTCACCAAGGGATCCCTGATATAAGAAATATAGTTGAAAACAGTACACAGAGCTGTTGTTTCACATGTATTCAACAGAATAACCTCAACAATATTCTTTTGTATTCTGTACAAGTATTGAGTTATTTTTTCTTCTTAAGAAATAAAGTTTATAATGCAATAGACAGGGATCATATCATTCTTAAGACAATGTTATTACCCAAAGATACATACATGATATACACTCATACACTATATTAGGCTTCTCTGTTCACTTTTAAGAAAAAATAGGCTTCAACATAATACAGGTTCTCTGTCTAATTTCTTTGGCAAACAACCAATTTTCCAATCCAAAATACTCATAAAATCATAACATTATAGAGACCAGAATAGTTTTCCCATGTTTTTCCAAAGAATACTTATAAATTTATTAGGCTTTTTTTATAGGTTTTGTTTACTGTTACAGTGAAGAACTTCATCCATTTGTCCAAAGTCCTATGTAAGATTTTAAGTTATCTCCACATAAAAACTAGAGAGAAAACATGTTCAAAATATAAGATTCAATAGGTTTTTATACATTCACTGAAAAGCCTGTTGTATGTTTTGTAAATAACTTCATTTTCCTAAATTTTACAGCTGAAAAGGGTCATTTAAAGTGGATTCAAAGATTAGAAATAAAATGATAAACAAAGACACCACTAAGAGGAGAATTGCTTGTTTTCCCTTGAATGCTTTGTACATGAACATAACCATTACATTTACCTAAATGGTAGTTCTAGGAATTATGAACTGAAGTATCAAATAAATCTCTTTTAAAAATACTTTACAAGAATACAATTAAACTTCAAAAATATGAGAGAATAAAATAACCATATCAAAAGCATAGGCAAGTTTTTTTTCTTAATCAGAAGGTTTCACTCAATGTCTTAGATTCTATTAAGTCAGAGTGCAAGATAATATTCGTGCAAAGATTAAAAATACTTTAGTCCATCATGCATATTGCATTTACATAACATCTAGAGCTTCTAAAATGTATATCTACAGTTTTTTCAGTATCCCTGTATATTGTATCTGGTATTTACTCTCATCTACCATGAACTGTCACTAAATCAGCAATGTACGGTAAAATGAATAGTTGATAACTCTGACATAATGTCATGATGAATGGCACACTTTGACCCCATCTGTGCACATAATGTAAAATGCAAAAATTCAGTTATGTAAACTACTTTGGAGAACTTATTTGCAATTTGACCTAGGACTAATTTTAAAACTAAGAACAGAATACAAGTTTTTTCAAGTATAAATGCAAAATTTTATATCCAAAAATATCTAAAGCAATAGATGTAAAAATGAATTAAAATGTCATGGATGTAATTCTAGGTATATTGGATAAAGGAGCATTCAAACTTAGCAACAAATAATAAATTAAGTATGTATGATCACATGCTTAGAATGTGATACTCTCATACATGCAAAGCACAATGTGTTTAACATTCTTGTTAGAGGAGATGACAAAAAAAATTTACATATAAAAGAAATATTAATGGTTAAGAGACTGAGATGAGAACTGAATGAGATAGGTTCAGAAACAATATTACTAATAATGATATAAGGATTTTTTTTTTCAGTAAGATATTCCCACACAAAAATAATAATAAAAGTCTAGGAGATAAGAAAAAAAGTTTTTTCTGGATGAAGATAAAAAAGCACAACTCTCTTCAAGCTTCTTGTACAAATTTAAAGGCTAAAGTGTTCTGAAAGGTATTAACATTTTAAAATACTTATACATCAAATACTCATTCAGTCATTGTGGAATACTATACCTTCTATATATTTGTAAATTATTTAAACATTAATATAAATATACATGGATATTTTTATTACAGATATTTAGTAACTTCTCTCCTGAAGTGTAACTATTTGTACAGGTAAATGTAGCTGCTCTGTTTTCATTGCTGAATGATAATGTCAAACAAGAACCTTCAGAAAGAGTGCATTTGTCATTTCTGGTTTATTCTATTAGAATATAACTACAAGAAACAAATCTTTGTGTTCAATGATAATGTATTCATGATATGGAGAGATGGTGAGGAAAGCCTCATACAGTCCATAGATTTTATCTATACTGTTACTCTTCTAACATTTTACTATTACTTTAAATATTTACTATATTTCTACAACAGCTATCACTAACTACATTGGTATACAAACAATATCTTGATTTTTTGAATTTACATCCATAACACTGTAAAAAAGTAGTTTTCATTCAGGTCCTCAAATTTTATTCCTTATAATAATGAACGTTTTGTATATGGTTACAGTACTCTATATCAGTGCGTTTCAAACTGGGGTACGTGAGACGTTCCAGGTATGTGCATGTATGGAGATCTTTGGCACATATAATAATATTCTCTAAAGCTTCTTTTGTACAAGATGTTTTCAGCAATAATTGTATTTATTGCAATAAACATAACTACGCAAGATTGTTCATGCTTGAAATTGTTTTTCAAAGAACAACTGCAGTGAAAGTAACATACCTCAGAGTGGCTACTACTACTACTTAAAATTCTTATTAAACCATTATATGTAAAGGCCCTTTCTGGGCCTCAAGTACAAAAATTTGGTAATTCCTGCTCTACATGTTCTGAAAACAATCCCCTATCTGATAAGTTACAGCTATTCATTGCAATACCATCACAAAAATAATCAGTTAGTCTAAAAGCTCAACCTTATTCACATGTTTGTTTTTCAAGCACTGACAAGTTAAATGAGATAATAATTTTCTATTATATTTACCAATCAGACCCATTATTTCTGGTGGGTTAAACAATATACATGACCTAGCTAACTAATGAATGAATATTTGCTGTAAAATTCTTATCAATACTACTAGTGTAGCTACCAGTTTGGTTGGCAATTTTGATTTCATTGTTTTAAGTTGCACGCTCAATTCATTTTTGATCACACCTAAGGTGTTTTTGATTAGATATCAAACTTTTTATCAGTACACACCAACAAACTACCACAAGTAAGAAAGTGACACTTCATAGTAACCAACATCAGCTTTAGGATTGCAACCCAAATATTTAGAACAGAGCTATACTTTACAGAAACAACCAGTCTTTAAAATATATGGTGGTAATTTGTCCTCTCTAAAACACTGTTAATAACTTCCTTTATAGTAATGTCATGGAATCTAGATTAACAATTTCTTGTCATCATCCACATGCACTCGATACAGCCATATCAAGCATCATTTTTACACTAATATAATAAAATTTAGCAAATTTGTGCTTAAAATTTGGCAACAAATAATGAATAATAACTGTCAATCCAAATGATTCTTTTGAAAACTTGAGCAAGAAACAGCTAAGCTACTTTGCTTGGCCTAACCAATACTAAATCAGCTGTCTTTATTCTGAAGGACAAAAAACTAAAAACAGTCTACTTTTACTCTTAAGTGAAGTTTTATTAAAAATTTCAGACCGAACTCACGTGACTTTTTGAGTAGGTCTGTACAAATATTTTGGTCAAAATTTAGACCAAATTTGACTCCTAATTGTAGGTTGTACAGATCTATACTGTTGGGAATGCTTTGATGTATTGCACTGAATCTATTTATTGATTTGTGAACAGACATTGAAATAAATGAACTGTCAACAACAACCAAAGATGATGAATCACACTTTATATCCTATACTGTCCTTGCAACTACATTCTCTGTTGTCAGTCATAAAGTCTCTGATAGTCATGACTATACACTATTACCTGACATTGCAATTTCCACAATAACAAGCTGCCGGAAAGGATAGCAAGGTCAATCTTTAGCAAACCAAATACAAAGAAGTCCATGGGTGTACAGTGAAGTGAGTTCACAGGTATATCAAATAAAAGGATAGCATGAACACTATTATGATTAACCAAGATTTATAGAAATACTTTTATGGATTTGCATGTGACTTTATGCTTTATCCTGAAGTAGCCATACCTTCTTGGCATCTTGCATAACTGGTGTCAATACATTTTACTAAGAGTAGCTGGAGACCACATTTGCTTTATTGTGAAGTTTGGGATAAGGAAACCTGTGGTAACCATAGAACCCACTAAGATACTTTCTTTACATTCTCTGTACCATGTTGGAAAGCCCATATTAAATTATAAATAATTGCAAATTACCCATTTTTTCATACATCTATTTAATTACACTCAAGAATTTTCCAACCTTGCAACATACTTCTATCTCTCACGTGCAAGGAATCTTGTGAACAGTTTTCTGCAATTTGTCTTTTTTTTTCCCACCAATGTGTCTGTGAAGCAGTTTGCACACTTATGGTGTGTGCTTCTTTTATGAGTGCAAAATCTCTGTGAATTATCTTATGCAATATTTATTAGGATATGCACAACTTGTTAGCAATCACTCCTCTAGCCATAAATATCTATGGTGCCAGTGCACAATAATGAAATGGAAATTAACTGTGAACCAAATACAGATATGGTGAACATGTCATAGCAATAGCAAATTCACATTATTATGAAATATGATTTAATGTAATGTCAATGAAATACTAATAAAAGAAAAATATGTTACCTTAATAGTAGGTGCCAAACTTAAATAGCTGAAAATATGTGCAATACGCAGTACCCATACATTAAATCTGAGCAAATACATTGTGTTTTTGTTTTATTTTTTCTCTTTATCTTGTAATAATTCACAAAAAATACAGAT